TATTTGTTGGTTACCATATCATGTTTATTTTCTATTGAGTGGTGTTTTTGGTTGGCGTTTAAAAGATGAACAAAATCATGAATTATTATTCAATATATTTTCATGGTTAGGATATACAAATTCTGCATTAGATGTCATTATTTATTCCTTTACTTCCAACGAAATAAGAATTATATTCAGGAAATTATTTTTTAAGTTATGCCATTCGGTATAAAAAAAATAAATTGTCATTCTATGTAAATATTATGTAAATACAAGATTTCTAAATAATAAATATGCGATATTTTTTAACGTTCCTTTTTTGATGATTCAACTTAATACTGATTTTTGTATCAAAGAAAAACAATCTTTTCTTAAAATAATAATCCGATTTAATCGTAACAATGTTACTTATTTGCAATTTCAATTGGACTAAGTCTATACATCGGAAAATAATCTGATATATCAAGTATTTGCTGAATAATATAACTTCATTGATACGAATAGCAATAAAATAGTATCATAACTTATAGTCATCAATCAATGGAGTAGAAATTCCCTCGAATCAATCAACAAAAAGTCAACGTTAGCTTTGATCATTCTCGATTCAAATTTTTTTCTTTTGTTGTTAAGTCTGAGTAGATAAATATTTGGAAACCTATCAATCTAATATATCTTTGTCAGCAAATATGCTCATGACATCTGCTATCAAACATTGAAGAATCGCAAAACTAATCGATTCTTTCATCTTTTTTTTTGTGGTGGACAGTTGATTGAGTGACATTTTCTATGAAAGATTTTTCTGTAATCTATCTGCATTATTATTGAAAAGCCATCATGATCCATCTATGTTATCTAATGTTCTTGCATGTGTTCTTCTCATCACTGAATGTCTTTTAAAACCCATTGTCGTTGTATACTTCGCATGGCTATTCGAGAATTATCAAGAGATGTGCGGTGTGGATGTGAATAATTACTCTTCTCAACCACACACACACCCATACTCAGTCGTACACAGGCATATACTAATCGATTACGAAGGAAAACGACAGCTATCTACGCTAACCATGCATAATATTTTCATAACATTGGGCACGTTTTTTAACTGTTTTAGTTTTTTGAAAATTGGTTGATAGGGTCTATGGTATCAGTAAGATACGAGAGTTTCAAAAGTTGAACTGATAGACCGGTATGAGTTATTTCTCACTTTTCTCATCCAGTAATTGTCAAACTAACCTTTTGATTAGTCATAACTACTTTGAATCGCTATAGAAATTACGTAAGACTTTTGTTTCACTATTATAGTGCTTTTTTGAAACATGATTGTTAATGAATGTTGAAGTATACGGCATGAAAATTGATCCCATCTCTTCCATCTTAGTCAAAAATCAGACACAAGCATGCTGATCTTTTTTCAACCTCCTGACAGACTATAACAGATATGTTGATATGTCTTTAATGAGCTAGTGGAGTTGTCGACATGCTAGCTTTTGCTACTTTCATGATCTGTGATGTTGATGAGAAAGTTTTCCAATGGGAAAAAGCGAAAATTACGTACTTCAACATATTTTAAGGCTATGTCAAAGCAATCCTCTTGAGTTTCTTAACTATTTGAAGTTTTCTATCAATATGTGTTACAAGAATATTAATTTCATTCATTTTATATAAGTACTTTACTGATACTCAAATCTTGAAGTACAATAAAGTATTTGGATTAAAGTGTCAGATAGTCTTATATAAAAAGAATTAAACTAATATGCTAGTGATACATGTTGACATTAGACTTCAAATAACTAAGAATCGCTAGAAAATAGCTTTGACAACTCTTGGAATATGCTGAAGTATGAATGAAATACGGAGTTTTTACTTTTACCCCTTGGATTCCTCACAATAGTTTACATAGCCTCATCATGTTTAATATTTTAATTACGTAGGAATTGCGCTGAAAGCTTTTTCTTCACTATCGGCTTCCATGATTTTCTCTCTTTTTTAGTTAATTGCAATGATCAACATTGATTGTGTTTTATTTCGATGAAAATAACATTATATCGAAGTGACTTCATAATATATATATATTAGACGTATAATTGATAAATATTGACTTCATAGAAATAGTCATTCACATTAGTAAAATTAATTTGATATGCGAAAAACACCACTTTTATGATCAGTTTTTTGAAAAACCATTCAAAAACTCGAACACATCTATAGCAGCCAATATATCGGAGCGAATCGACCATTTGCCGTTACTATTTGCAACACTGATATGAGCACCGCAGGAAGACAAACACACACGAAGATAGACAAATCCTATGTTTTCTATATCTTCTCCATATCCTATGTGTTAAATACCTTGCATATGTCAAATCTCTTTTATATCTACTATCTCCTAGGCTAATATTTATTAGGTTTCTTCGGAAACTCAGAAAAAATATCAAAGCTGGTAGAGATTAATAAAACACATAAATTAGAATCTTAATAGAAATTTAAAAAAAGATTTATTGAAAAAATAACAAAGTTATATTAGAAAATATAGAGAGAACTTTTCTGTGATGCTTATGATAGGTAGAAAGAGATGAATAATTTCTCTTTGAATAATTTGCATTATTATGGAGAAAAAAAAAACCATTTCCATTAGAATTTTTCTCTCGAATGAAAAAATTAACATGGTTGAGATGTTCTTAATCTTTTGGATTTTTGCGCTCATGAAGGTAGAAAGAAAAGGATGATTTCTACTTGAATAATTATGTTTTTATTGAAAAAAAAAATTATTTCCACTAGAACTTTCCACTAGACTGAAAAATAATTATGATTAAAATATTCTTAATTATTTTTGTCTTCTATCTATCACGGTCGAAATGAAATAATTCTTCCGTTTGAGAGAAATTGTTTAACCTTCTTAGAAAACGATGATATAAGTAATGATAATAAATCTATGAAAATAGTGAAGAATTTAGAACTTATCCAACTTAAAAAAAATAATTTTAATATAACTTGCAGTCTTAATGAAAGCACTATAGCTTGAGTCTTTCAGATTGTAACAACACTATTTATATCTGGAATAATATTTACAAAAATCCAATTTATTAAATCCAAAGACTTCGTACACGGATGCCTGATTATTTATAAATGAAGATAAAAATCTGCTTCTTTGTTTTTCATATAAATTTTTAAGTGTTTCAACAGTTACATCAAAATCTCTGATTAGATACAAATATTCCGAAGGTAATATTATTAATAAAGTTTTCAATAAAATCATCATGAACCTCTCTATTTTGAATGTGAATGCTCATACATCACTGTGAATCATCGTCTTCTGGAGTATTACAATTTTATTTCTTCATATTTTATAAGAAGAAATACGATCGTAATACGGAGTCATGTGATACGTTAAAATATGATTACATGCGATGAAATATGAAGTGTCTATGGCTTTCGTATACTTCGTCCTGAGTATTTACATGGAGTAAAATTAGTGGTATTTAATCAAAAGAAAACTGTCATTTGAATACATTCATCATACTTGTTAAAATCTATGTTAGATGTCTAGATTTCTTGTTATTTAAGAATTGTTTTTTTTTTCTATGAATATTATTATTTGCTGTATTTCCATGAGGAAAAAGTAGATGATGTTTATTTTTACTGTATATTAGAATTTTTTAGAATAGAAGTAGTAATATAATATTTTTTCTATTATCATTATCAGAAAGAATAGAATTCTTTTTTTTTTTTCTATTAAGTAAAAAGAAAAAATTAATAATTAGTTTCAACCCATTGAAACATAATAGAATTTTAAACAAGATTCAAAAGAAAAGATAGAGATATAATTATCATAAAATTCATGTGGAAGAGTTTTTAAAAAAAAAAAAAAGAAGCAAAGTTATTCTAAATCAACTTCTATTCTCTTTTATTTTGTTTTATATTCATAATATATTACAGTGTAAACAAAATATCTATTAAATATGAATATAAAGTCTAACTCTAGACAATAAAAATTCATTAGTAACTTTATGTTATAATAATTAATTTGTTTTTTTTTTCTTTCTTCCATCAATAAAGATACTACATATATATATATATATCATTTCTCATGAGTAAAAAGAAAAATCCAAGCATGATACTTTTCCTTCGATTGTTTTTATATACATGTGTATTGATGAATGGTGTTTGAGCATTACCACTCATAAGGTTTTACAAGTGTTCTCTTAGGAAACTTCTTTTTTCTTTGTCGAGTCATAGGTTTTTTTTTTAATACTACATGATTACATTCTCAAAGAACGATTCAAGCTTTTCACCTATCATATGCATTCATCACATACAGACAAGAGACCCGAAGAAAAACACAATTACAGGGTTTTTGTTTTAATATATGACTCTATCCGTAAGTTACTTTTTTCATAGAATAGAAAGAGAAAAAAAAATCCGATGATAACAATTATTTAGTTGCTGCTTGTCGATCGACGATAATAATAATAACTAGAAAGAAGTGCTTATTTTTGTAATACAAATGATAATAAGGTATATTATTCTATATGAATAGAAATGTAAAAAAACAAAAATCTTTATTTGATTTGTTAGTTCTATGTTTAAAATATTTTATTCAGATGTCATCGTTTCATAAAAGTAAAACTAATAACCAATCTTTTGATGAGAAAAAAAAAGGAAAAACAAGTTATGTACTCAATATAAATTTACTTGTTTTCTTTTCATCTATCAAAAAAATCAACAAAATAATTTTTTTTTTTTAATTGACAAATAGATAGTTAAAAATAAGAAAAAAAAACTAGAATATTTCATTGTGTTTACAGGAAACATATGCTATTGAGTATGTCAATGAAAGATATAACAGGATGTACTTAATCGTTTTCTATGGACATAATGAAAAAAAATTTCGAGTACATTTATTGTCATTTGATAGAACTTAATGAAAAAAATGATAAAGAATGTAAATAAAATTATGTTGAAATGAATAGTTTAATAACAACAACAACAAAAAAAATAGTTTATTTATTTTATAGGTAATGACAACAAAAACAACGACTATGACAAGTAATCAACATTATAATTCATCAACTTGTTTAGAAGAATTTTCAATAGATTTTGTTAATAATCGATTAAATATTGATAACAACTCTTCTAATATTTATGATAAAATCAATGAAAAAAACGATAATAAAACATCATTATCATTAAATGAGGTTAAAAAGTATTGATTTATTTTTTTTATAATATAAATCATGTGTTGGTTTTTTTTTTCAAATAGATCGATGAATATTCATTAGAAACATCAATAAGAAAAAATTTATCAACAGAATCTATTCCATTAGTTCTTATCTGTGGTGTTTGTGGAGCACCAGCACATGGTTATAATTTTGATCAAATTACTTGTGAATCATGTAAAGCATTTTTTCGTCGAAATGCTTTAAAAAATACGGTAATTTAGTAAAAAATTATTTAATGTCAAAGTCGAGTTTTAATTTAAAAAAAAAATGAAATATTATGAAAGTTCTTTTTTGAACTCTGTATTTTAAAATAGACTGATGCTTATATATTTATAAATAGCAATTCTATTTGAATTCCGAGATTCCATATTTTATAAAAGAAGCTTCTTTTTATATCGAAATTTGAGTAGTGTCACATATCCAAGATTTTGGAGATGCCACCACATCTCCTGTGGGAGATGCCGCGTCTCCCGCTGGAGACGCGGCACTCACACTCGAGAGATGTGGTCATTCACCACTGGAGATGTAAGATCTCCTTTAGAGATGCGCATCCCTCACACCCACACCCTCATCTCTCGCGCGAGATGCGGAATCTCCCGCGGGAGACGCGGTGGCATCTCCAAAATCTTGGATATGTGACACTGCTGAAGATTATATAAAATCCTTGCTTTTTCTCATTAAATGAATTATTGCAAGTTTACATCGGACAGTTTTGTTAAAAAAAGAAACCTCAATTATCTGATTTAATTTGAATTTAATCCTATATATTTTTTTTTAGCTTCAATTTAAATGCCGTTTTGATGGTACTTGTGTTATAAATATGCGTAATCGTCGTCAATGTAGTTATTGTCGATTAAAAAAATGTTTTGATATTAAAATGCGAAAAGATTGGATACGTACTGATGAAGAACGTCGATTACGACAATTAAAAAATTTATATAAACAACAAAAACATTTAAATAAATTATCTTTAGATGAACAACAATCAGTTATAAATTTTTCATTAGTTTTACGAAAAAAAAAACGTATTAAATCATTAATTACAAAACAATTAATAAAAGATCGTACTATTTCAAAAATTGAATCAGTAAATAAAAAAAAATATTTTTAATAAAAACTTTAATGATTAGTTTCTTTTTTTATTCTCTTATTTAGATTTATCCTATTAGTACTTTTGCAATTCATCGTAATTTATCTGATGATGATAGATTTATATTAAATAATATTATAAATGCATATAAACTTGGAGCTGATCAAGCTGATTATTCTCATTTTAATCGATGTACATCATCAACAACTTTAGTACAATTTTTAAATGATGAAAGTATTATGTATGAATCATTAATTTATTTTTATAAACAAATACCTGAATTCAAAACATATGATTTAAATGATCGAATATTATTAATTAAATGTAATGTAACTAAAACAATACATTTACATCATATAATTGTAGAAAATTTTCAAGAAATTGAATGTATGAGTGAACATATATCTCGATGGATTAGTCAAAATTTTCATGAACAAATGTTTAAAATACGAAGAAAATTTTATTATTTTATGAAATATCCACTTATATTAAAAATAACATTGATTATATTTATATTTAGTATGAATTTATCAATACCATATCCTAATAGTCAATTTTCAAATTATAAAAATAAATATAAATTATATGAAAGTCAAAATTTTTATATTTCATTACTTTGGCGTTATTTAAATTATTTATTTAATGAATATGAAACAATACGATTAATAGATTTTATTGTTACACAAATTTTACATTATCAAACATTAATGAATACAATGGATGAAATTATAAATAAAAATAGTTATCAAAATGAATTTAATCCATTGATGCAATCAGTTTTCAGACTAACTTAAAAATAATATTCTTTGGTCTTTTTTTTTTTCTATGTTATTTTAGTATTGTTGATATATATTATATATATGAATACATGTGTCGGATAAAACATATGTTGAATACTTTTAAATTTTCGATGTAGATACAAGACTAGGAACATATTTCTATTTCATTATTGATTTAGTCATATTGAAATAGGCTCATGAAGAAAATTCTTGATATGTAATAAATAGTACATAAAAATAATACTAAAGATATTTAAATGTTAGACAATCTCAAAGATATGTAATATATACTCTTGGGAAAGTTTTTCTCATACCGTATCTCATTCTTTTCGTATCGAATATTATTATGAAGAATTATGTTATTTAAAACAATCAGTCAAAAGTACAAATGCGTTAGTTGATAGAATATATTTCATGGCTGGATTATCTTTTTGTTTTGATACTTTCCGATTATTTTACGTGTCATCGACTATAGCGTATTCTTGGAGCAGCTTGCAGTCGGTGACAAAATGAATTTAATAAGTCAAAACATTAAAAAGGTAAGCAGCTACAAAAAAAAAACAAAACACTTCATGCGTGAAGTATTCTGTCAATCAACTTATTTGCAGTGATCCTCAATTGTGTCGAAAGGGGTATATTCTTCATCGAAGCAAAATGTCATGACTTATACACTAGATTACAATAGAGGGCTAAGACCTTCATTGTAATTAATATTCACTTGAGATTAAAGAGATTCTATCTGAAAAGAATGATGACAGGGGAAGGGAAACACGTTAGTCTAGTGATGTAGAATTTGCAGTAGATCTTTTAGGATATTTAAATTCAGACAAAACAAATCTTCTTAAGTTTTTGAAAGATTCTTAAGTTCATTCTATTTATAGCCTTCAATGAATAGATTCATAGTATTTTCAACTAAGAATTTGTTATCTTTTTTTTCTGAGAAAACTTCAAGGATATTAATATCTTGAAGTATTCGTCTGCTTTAAAACTTCAAACATGTTTCTTTATATCTAATTTTTTTCTTTGTAGCAATTAAATAAAAGAAGTGTATTTATTTTTATCAACCATTATTTTATTAAGTGATAGAAAAATTATGATACTAAAAATAATATAATCTCATTGTTTTAAGCTATTATTATATATGTCTTAGCGTCCAATCTCTGATTGGCCTAGGCGAATCGTGGATGCTTACATTGGACTAGTCCAATATCAGATTGATGCAATTCGGTTCACTAAAATACCAATTACTCTTGAGATCGATGTTGGATTCGAATTATTTTTTTGAAATTATGTTCGCACAATGCCGTTTTAAATATTGCAGGCGTTCAGACAGAAGTCAAATTTAGACTGAAGAACTTAATAACAACTTTTCATAAAAGTTGTTGTTCTGTAGAAATTTATTTATAACTCTTAAACTTTAACGTAAATCTGTCCAACGACGATTGTGATAAACAAATTGACATTATATGAACATAATTTCAAAAAGTAATTCGAATCCAACATCTATCTCAAGAGTAATTGATATTTTAGTGAACCGAATTGCATCAATCCGATATTGGACTAGTCCAATGTAAGCATCCACGATTCGCCTAGGCCAATCCGAGATTGGACT